GATATTCATACGGTGGACCGCCTTCAGCTGCATCGTTCAGAGCAGGAAGCTGTGCAAGCACCATTTCAACTGCCAAGTCCCATGACTGCCATAATGGGTGGTGGTGAGTGTCTGGTAACGAAGGGGAAGAAATAGGATGGCATTGATGCACCCTCATAATCCTTTGGCTTAGCAAGAAGTTTCTGAAAAGTGCTGCTACCATCAAGTCTTGTCTAAACAGCTTTTTGAAAAGCGGCCGGGGGAGAGTATTCCAAGCAATGGTATCAGTGATTGCTGTGAAGATCCAATTAAGCTCTCCAAGCGGTGTCCTTCGTTCCTGCAGCCTCCCCGGGATCTTCATTGCCATATCCACAGTCAACTTAGACGGGAACGGACTTCCAGGCAATGGGTTCGAAGGCAAAGGGTTTTGCAGTACGAAGAAACGAACTGCGATCTCAATAGGTGTTGTCAAACAACAGGTGAAGAGATCAGCTGGTAAATCCGGATTCATCGGCAATGTTTCCTTAGCTCCACAGGCTGCAAGTTGTATGCAGTCACTATACGAGGGCGTCGTTATTGCGCTTGGATCCTTTGCTCTAAGTTCTGCATTCTCCTGCTCATGCTTTTCGATAAATCTATTAAAGTTCGTAACAATGTTCCCGGCATCGCTGCAGTCATAGACGAACAGACTTGGAGCACCAAGCCAGCTCTGAAGATCATATAACGAGATTGGAATATATTGGGTGAAATTTTTGTTGAAAACCCATATTTCTCCACTGGATGTCGGTTTGGGCACTCCGTGACCATTGTAATGAAAGAGAATACGCTCATCTTTCGCATTCCGCCGCAGAGAGCAGCAGAATTTCTTCGTGTCTTCGACGAACGGGTCTAAATGCTGTTTATACCTGGTCCGAATGCTCAAGGTTTCATATTGCTGCTGCAAATTCTTGCCAATCTTTTCCAGTGGCTTCGCCGTGGGATGAAGAGTTGTATCGACCCAGCATTCAAGCTTTGCGCAGGGATTTGTCTTAACGACATCTTGCCGGGGAATTAGCTAATTTTTCAATTGATTGCCTAAAGGGATGGTTCATACCGGGTGGATCAACGCCGATGTTCAAACATAATACCAAAGCAGCCGAAACAGTCTTCAGTCGATCGCGCATTCGCCATTCCTGCAAAGGAAATGTTTGGTTGTCCTCTTTCGGCTTGCCTCCAGTCTCGTGGCGCTTGTCGGTATAATACATATAAAAAACCTGTCGCCTCGAAAATTTAGACGCGGAACCAAATCAAAATGTGAAGCAGAAACCAACCTGCTCTAAAACCGCCAGATATGCCTCTGAGTTGTATTCGTCCTCGAATCCATGTCTCATTCCCTCATATTCATGATCCACGATCTCTTCGCTTGGACTCTCGTTCTCCGAATTCTCCGGCGATCCATGGAGAGTGGCGGGGGTAAGGACTCCAGATCTTGGAGTTTGTGGAGTTCGTGCTCTTCTTCTTCGAGAACTTGACCTACTGTTTGAGCGCGTGTTCGGAGCGATTAATGTGTTCCCCGAAAGGGTCTGCCGAAGGAGCTCTGCTGAAGACTCGTGTGCGGGGGCAACAGACGAAGCGGTCGAGGAGGACGAATTCTGGCGTGATATTGCAGTTGTGGGGTGCGAGGGACCATTTGTAGGATATGGTTGCTGGTGGTGTTGCTGCTGGTTGTGGTGTTGTCCGTTCACTCTGCCATTCTCCCTATCCCCATTTACGTGACTGGGCACGTCGCCACTGTTTATCATCATGTAACTGTGCGAGGAAGTACCGTTTACACCGTGACCACTACCGTTCATGGTGGTGTTAGTCGTGGTGTTCGAAGCTTGAATGGGGTTGGGGGTGAGGTGCTGCTGCACGAGCGGATTGGGAGAAGTGGGATGCGGCTGTGGCTGTTGTTGGTGATGATCTCCGCCGGTCAGCATACGAATATTCCGCTGGAGCGGTGATGTGGGTGGTGGTATGAGCGGGTTAAGGGTGCTCTGATTCTCAGGACGATGTTGAACTGGACGAGTGGAGAAGGAGACAGCCGTCATCATCAATTCATGTGTTAAGGTTAAGTGTATTTCTTTTTAACTACTGCCCGGGTCCACTTTAGATGGAAGGTCGGCCTGAAGGTATTATTCTTTATTCCTTGAGTATTCGTTTCCTTATTCCTGGGTTTGGTCCACTTTCGAACGACTCGCTTTTAGCTGGCCAGTGTATTATGGATACTTGGGTGGATAACAGAATGAGAGGCTGAGATGCAGATAGTTATAGCCGAAGGTGAAGTACACAAAAGGGATCAGATAAACGTGTCTTCCGACGCCTTCCTTGATCACTCTTTACAGTTAACCTTGAAATCTTACTTAGGGTTCGCGACGTCGTCAGCCGCTGGCATTTCACTAACGACAAAGATCCTTCGGATCCGAGGAGCTGCCTGGGAGTAGTTATCAAATGCGGGATGCGATAAGGAAGAAGGAAGAAAGATTCTCAAGTTACAACGAAAATGTTTGATGACGACGCAGCTGATCACTGCTTTTACTAAGCCTGAGATTCGTTTCCATGTATCCCTACATGTATGTGCCATGAGGCTCTTTTCTCCCACCATCGTGATTACCTACTCTATCAGAAGTATCCCCAGACTCCCATATTAGGTAAAAATAACCTGACAGACTACATCATAATAATCTAGAAGACTTTCGATTCATCTGTATCTTCTTCTGCCGACCTATAATTATTCTCGGGATCATAACCAATCACTCGGCCGTTAACTTAGTAACCAGCTCATGGACCTGGAGACGATCGGCTGCGTCAAGTTAATAAACTAACATTCTCTATGAATGGCTTACGATAACTGTACCGATGTCCTGTCCTTTGACGAATAAGTTGGGCTTGTCTCTGATAGCGCCGAGGTTTGTGAGTTTGGAGTTACAGATCGCTTCATATACACCCTACTATCAGTACCTGTTTCACCCATAATCATTCAGGTCACCATAACACCTCTCTTCAGATACCCTGACGACAACGTTTTAGGGATAATCACCAGCGATCAAAGACATACTTCACTTAGCTATTAGCAAATATATATATACGGAACTACATGCGGTAATAAAACAAAAAAATTTGAACTCTAGGGGCGCCAACAAGAAGCCACCTATTAAGGTTTTGCTTGAAACATTATCTACTTGCGATAATATCGAATAGAGTATTTAAGTTATGTGCTTAGCTGTGCCACATAGCGCTCAACATATCCGCAGGGATGGTTAAGTACTCCAGATGGGTACATACATGTACCTACAGAGCCGAAAGTCCCATAAATAAGAATCGAATTAGCGAAATTTTAAAGGGTACGATCTACATTTTTCGTCCCCATATAGGGCTCGAGTCCAACTATATATGGATATACTATAAACTTAATTATCACAGATTCAAATGAGTAGGTATAGACTGCATTTATCAAGACATAATTCATCCCCGAAGTACTCATGATAAGTACATGGTGAATCCTCGATCGAGAACATCGCTACTATGTGAACCCACTTATTTAAACAACCGAGTAAACCTAGAGCGAACTCCCATACCCCTAGATCATGGACTTTGTAAACAAGAGTTATCGGTTGCTATTAAGACCAAACTCAATATTTAGGATAGCTTCGCACGCGGTTTGTAGATGTGGGTATATTTTATGAAGATCAAAAAGTCTTCATTTAACTCAGTAAGTATATAAGACTCGGTTACTTGATCGAAGATAGTAGAAGAGCGAGGTTTTATATACTTGTACATACCCATACAAGATCTAGAGGTTTCATATTTGTAAGATTACCAACTAGAATCGCTTTCGTTCAGGGATTTGATCAATGCAATTCAAGAACATTCCGCGCGGATGAATACCAAAGGAAGGAAACAGATTGTCCCTTCTTATAATTACTGAAAGGCTTGAAAATGGTTGTTACAGTATGTTACTATATTCACTATCATTATGCATATCCACAGCTCTCCTACTAGAAGGTTCTGGTATGGACTATTAATTGCCGTCGCATTCAGCTAAACAGCACCCTCTATTTGCGAAATTCTTCTCATCCTGGCCTTTTATATTATAGGAAATAATCATTGGCATAGTCGACAGTAAAACCTTCCAGCATGGCCACATAGTGATAACCAGCCAAAAATCAATAGCGAATGAGGATTTGGAAGCGAGTGATGTGCTATGATCGCAACTACACACCCCATCAATTATGTATTTACATACTCGCGCGTTAATTAAAAGGTCGGAGTTTTGTGTGGGGGATTTGGTTGCAACGACTTCCGACCTTTTAATTAACGAGCGAGGCAATGAGATTTTAGGCCATGAAAACGAATTTATGCGCCAACACCCGTTCTGGGTATCGACATGTTAATTGTTGTAAACTCCTCAGTAAGGAAAAGAGAAAAACAACGCCAGTATACTGATAGAATCCATAACTACATCATGTACTTTACATTTGCACAAAACTGTTGAAAGAGAAAATTACAACGTTATTCCCATACCCAATCCTGATAACTCTAAAATCAAAAGGTATTAAAAAAAAAACTCCATTAAAATGCCGCACAATCATTTACTATCGCCTTAGTTTCCTGTACCTCCTCTGAATTCACCACCTTTCTCTTCTTCCAGTCCCGACTCGCTCCCGACCACCTGTTCTCCTCGGTGTCATCCCTCCATCCCAAGCTAGTGATCTCGAAGGTGTACTTGGCACAGGGGTTCCGGGCATGAGTTGCTGTGATAATTGCTGGTCATATATTTGCTGTTGTAGTTCACGATCCCAGCGTGAAGTCATAGGTGTCGGTGGTACTCCATTAGGGTACGCTCCATATGCCGAAGGAAATGGCTGTGTCGGATGATAGTTTGGCATATGATCAACCGCCTTGGCCCGGTAGAACCCGAATGCTGTATTTGATATAAACAAGGCCCCGAAGATCACGAGGAGGCAAAAAAGCTGCATATTACAGTCAATATCCAATCATTATCATAATATCCACGGGGAAACATGATTCACCATAGTTTTGTAACTGATTCCTTCAACAAATCCATCCACGATCCCGGCAAATGTCTCTGCGCTTACTCGTGCTCTCCCGACCATTGTCGGATCCCTGTTCATGCATCTTTCCCATGCACTACATACTTTCTCCATAGCTGGTACTCTCATTCCTGGCGCGCAGCGATTCTCAATGTAGTCTCTGCTGCATTGACTGATCTCCATTAAGATTTCAGAGGAGTACTCCTCCACCTTTACATCGACGTCTGCCCGGATAGTAAGATAGAAACAAAACACGGCGTAAAGGACCAGTAGTAGTAATGAGAGATTGAAGAATAGCTGAAGGTAATGTGACACAATTAGCGGCAGGTCACGATGGGTTGACACAAAAGAGGCCGCAGCAGATTCTGCTGTGCGGCGCCATGAAATGCGAGGTGGGGGCCGCCGGCAAGGTGAGCCGTCATCTTCATCTTCTTCCTCGTCGTCCTCATCCGATTCCTCTGAGTTTTCAACCTCCGTATCATCATATCCAGAGAGGGGCGTAAAATTTTGTGTTGAAACCTGCGTCTGCGGTCTCCGTCTACGTGCTTTGGTTACAGCGGCAAATAGCTGTCTTCGCGGCTCGCCCCTCTTGAGCTCTCCGCGACCAGTGCTTTGTGAGGGTGTAGTTGATGGTAGAACAGGCTTGCTAGTTATACTTTTAAGCTCCGACCGAGCGGTTTTTGGTTCAGGAGTTGGCGCCTCACTGTCTAAATCCGGGGACCGGGGGGTAGCTTCTGAGAATATATCAGAGTCCTTTGATGGTGTGTTCCACTTATTCTGCAATAGCTGAAAGCTTGGTGTTTGGAAAGCCGACTGCGTAGGTCGTGTTGAGTGTGGAGTCGTCGGATTTCCTGCAGTGAAACGGAAGGTCGCAGTAGCTGGGGGGGTATGGGGGGGGTTTATAGGGGAGTATGCGAAGATTGAACGGCTTGTTGCTAGATCTATGTCAGTACATACAATACGATACAGCATGGGAGAGGGAAAGCAAGAAAACAGGAGGGAAAGGGACTGACTTTTCTTTGCGTCATAGAAGGGTGACGCCGGACTGATATCAGGGGTCTGGTCATATTCAAAGTCCATAGGCGTTTCATTACCTCTGCTAAAGCCTGCCATGGTATAGAAGAGACGAGGTATATGGCTTGGTAGAAGAAATTGTTGGATAGGAAGGATGAATGGCTTGAGGCTTACGGGAGGGGTGTGGGGAGATGTTGACACAGTTCAAAGTGAGACGCGAGGAAAATTGTAAACATCCCATCGCGTTGTGGCGCTTTGCAGCTAATTATTAGCCTAACAACCGTTGATGCGGCTGAAAGGAGGCACCAACTAAAGGCATGTGGAATTGCCAATTCTGATATATATATATGTACATGTACTTTATGGATAGATGCATATATTTTTCGCATAAAAACCTATGGCACTACATATCTTAAATATCCGGGGGGGTAGATAGTAGAGAGGTTTTGTGTTGAAGCTACATGTATGCACCATACCCAGGCTCACCCAAAAGCTGGGTTGTTAAAGGCGCAGCTAAAGTACATGTACCTACATATACCTACATGTAAGCTCCTATGGTATGTAGCGATGTACCCAGGGTGTTGGAAAGTGATGCACATTTTGCCCAAATACCCCCAAATATCTACTCGTAATTTCATAGCGTTTGTGAACACAACTGGGTTGCATACCTGCAAAATCCTGCATGAGGCTCCAGATTTTGGTGTATGCAGACCCAGCTATGTTCACAAACGCTATGAAATTACGAGTATATTTTGGCACAACACAAAATACTCCCTAAATTCAGAATTCGGGTACAGAACGTCTCTGCTATGCCTGAGAATACATTGGCCAGTGTTTGAAAATAAAATATCCACTTTCAAGACAAAAAGTCGCTGTGAGGTAGCGAAAATATATACATAAGTAAAGAACCCAGAAAAACATTGATGACAGACATCTTTTTCATTCCTTCATCATCAAGAGAATCTACACACTCAAATTGACCTTGGTATACCCTAATGTGAAGATTTATTCTCTCATTGTTGAGATATCACCGAATGTGCATCATTTTCCGACACCCTGAGTACATAACAGCTAGCCTCCGGGGTATGTACTGTCTAGGGTACATACATGTATGTAAATACGATGGGACAGCGGGTACGAACTTAGCCCTTCCCTTTGAACAAGTTCATTCTTTATTTATATCCCTATACCTGTATTGATAAGTGCTTACCCAATTAACCCGATAGAGCCCTCTTCGATTACACTCCAGTTATCCCTAAGCCGTCAGGCCGGATCCCAATCGTGTTACTCAAGCCCAATACGGAAGTCGTGATATAAAAAACTATGATGCATAAGTAGCTCCTCACGGTTTTACAGTACTAGTTCTTATCGTCAAAACTGTGATAGCTTCATCATAGACACTCCTCTGCGATTGGGCTTGAGTAACACGATTGGGATCCGGCCTGACGGTTTAAGGGATATGTAATTATGGTCTACCAAGTTATTCATAAAAATGATCAACTTGAAAAGTGGATCCATGTCCATAGCATGGTTTCCCTATATCTTTTTGGGATCGAGTGATAATATATGAATATATGTACTATATGCTATCATCTATACATGGGTACCTAGCAGCTCACAATAGTCTAAAAACTCCACAGCCACTCCCTTTTTAAAATTTAAAAGATAAAAGCAGCCCAAACCGCCGAGAATAATTTTTGTTTAAAAAACAACGAGCAGCTGTAATAAGAGATTTACGTGACCTCCAATATGGTTTGCACGACCATCATAGGCTATAGCCAGTAATATAGAACCAAAATACAGCTGCAGCAGTCTCTCGCTATAAGGATATTATTTATAAGGATAGGATCACCCGGTCCTGTCAACCCTTTTAACTATTAATCCTGAACCTTCTATAGCAATAATTCTGATAATACAGAATTTCGGTCCGGACGTATCGACCCAGAATCTCAATATTGCATTTGAAACCTATTAACCACATTATATACATGCAGCTAAGTTCAACTTGACTTGTAAAAAAGAGAAACTCGGCCGAACACCGGCCTAGTTGCACCCTAAATTGTTCTATAGAGCCTAATAAAAAACGTCATTCGCGAATATGATGCAAATGAAGAGAAGGGAAAAACAAACTGCACCCCACGCACACGTATTACCACGCTAAACCCCCACCCTACCTAGTAGTGATACGATGAATGAAAGGATGCTTCAGCGCCTCAGCTGGTGTACACCTCTTTTCTGGATTCAGGTTCAAACAGCGGTCCAACAGGTCAATAAAAAGGTTCAGATCTCTGCTTTCTGCATCTGTCATACCTGAAGCAGCAGACAGCAGCCTGGGCCGGAGTTCGCGAGTTGGTTTATTAAAGTTCATAGTTTTAATAATGTCCTGATAAAAGGGAGGGTTAGAAGGTTTCTTAGAGAAGCGGACTATTCTGTCGCTCACCTTTCCAGTGATTTTGTCTTTCTCGATACTCCTAAAATTCAACATATCGTCGAAATGTAGCATTGTAAATTGCCCCTTTCGTAAAAGCTTATGCGGAAACTTTCCTCGACACTCCATTATTGAGCGGAGCATCTGATTATTTGTACGGCCAGTAAAGAGAATCTTGCCAGTGAAGAGCTCGTAGAGAGTGCAGCCTATAGACCACATATCAATGGCATAATCGTAGGGAATACCCAGAACTGCAAGGTATTTAGCAATTTATGGAATAATGGATTTTTTTTTTTTTTGGGGGGGGGGAGGTGACCCACTAATTTCGGGGGCCCTGTAGAATCGACTGACAAGGTAAGGAGTAATGTCATTTTCTGACGCATCAGAGGCCGATCCTAAATCACAGATTTTCAAACTGCTACAGTTTTCGTTTGCCTAAGAAGTTAAACGCGGTTAATGGGATGTTGCAGGTATGTTATGGAAAATTGAGCTTACCAAAACATTGTCAGGCTTCAGATCAGCGTGCAAGATGTTGCACTTGCGCATGAGTGACAAACCAAGGAACATTTGTTGAGCATATGACCGTACTGCTGCTAGACTAATACCCTCATTTCGGCCATACTTCTTCAATACCTCTCTGAGATTGATGCTATAACATCATTAGTGATCGACCTGAAGCCAAGCAAACTAAGTGGTGGACATACCTCAAATTTTCAAAAACAATACAAAGATGGCCCTTGTGTTCGAAATATCGTTCTAACCTGATGAGATGTTTTTTATCCTCGGGATCTGCAGCACACAGCTTCTTTAATATTTCGATTTCCTTCATGCCGGCTTTTTTCCTGTAGATATTGTCAGTAATGTCCTCAAAGTGTTTCAAGATTAAATCATTACATTGTTTCGTTGTTTCGGATGATCTTGATGGCTACCTGTTTATTCGTGGTTTGGTCAAGCGCCCTAACAACCCCCGAGAACATACCCCTTCCCAAGTTTGTCTGCACATGATATCGACCATCAAGTAGTTCCGTAGGGATAACACGGTAATATCCATCTGGATCATCCCAATTGTCCAGTAAACTAGCATCTAGTTGCTTCGCCGCGGGAATAACCGGGACTGCCTTGGCAGTTTCAGGTTCTTTCTTAGTAGACTTTGGTAATGGGTCCGCAAACATATCATCATCATCACCTTCTGCAAACATATCAAAATCATCGTCATCTGCTTTCCCTCCTGGTTTTTGCTCTTCCTGCTCCGAAGCATTCTCAGGGAGAAGAACATCCTTGACTGTGGTCTTAGTTTCATCATAGGAACCGGAAGAAACTTCCTTTATGTGTCTGTGTTCTTGACCTCTTTTTGCATCCTCTTGCATGTCTATGGTAGGATCATAGTCGGCTGCCGAGGGGCTATCAATATCAATAGGGGAGTGCAGGGCAGGGTTATCTATAGGTGCTGCGATACCGTCTTTAGAAATGGTAAAATCGCCTGGCGTATGTTCTCGTGATGACGGCGTTGCTGCTATATATAAGTAACCACATAAATCAGGTGAAAACTGGCAATTGATCTCACCAGGTGTAGCGCTACCCTCTGCTGGAGAATTGGGTGTCGAATCAAGACCCAATGCCGAAACAAGCAATGGTGTAGCTTGTCCCCTATATTTAGCTTTAATGGCCTCTCTCTTCTTTCGCCGTTCTTCAATTAAGCTAGCTTCATCAACCGGTTCCTCAATTTCAATTTCTTCAAAATCTCGTTTGAGTACACCGCTCTTTTCAGCGTTCCTATAACAACAAAAGGTCAATTTCGCAATTGTATGGGTCTAGTTTCTGACGGGGTGAAAAAACAAACCTTCCGTTTGTCGTCTTCTGAGCTCCCGAGAACGACGACGTCCTATCTGACACTTTGCTCCGGTTTTCAGCATCTCGTTTTGAAGGGTCGGATAAATCTCCCTGTTCGCTCACTGATTGTTCACGGGAGATCCTATGACTGCCGTTGTGCTTTACTATATCCCTTTCGTGGTACCTATTGCCATTCTCACGTCTGTTATCATCATAATGACCCCGACGACCACCTCTACCATCACCTCTCGGTCCTCGCGGCGGGGAACGACTCTGTGTACGTGACCGCTTTGATTCACGATTCTGATATCGCTCGTCCGGGCTGTCATAGGGCACCTTATTAAATTCCCGAGGGTCCGACCGATCTATATCTGCATACGAAACTCTCGAGCGACGTCCATAATTGGGATCATTGCCGGCTTCGTAGTGCACACGATGTTGGCGTGGGTCTGGGCCACGGTCGCCCCTACTATCGCCTCTCCTGCGTTTTTCGCCTCGGGGGTAGTCGTCACTGCGATAGTGGTAGTCACGGGAATCATGATCGCGGGGATCTTGACGATCACGACGGTCATGGCGAGACGAGGAGGATCGCGCATCGTCGCTGTGGTTGGAAACGACAGGCGATCTCGAGCCTCTATTATTTCTATTGGAAATACGGTCAACGCTGGGGCCAGAGACCGAAGGCAGCGATGGAGGTGCCTTCTCTACTTCTGTTTCGAATATTTCCCCCTCCTCATCGAAGGATTCACTTGATGTCATGATGCTTCGAAAGTATAGAAGAAATTTCTTCTTTACTTCTACTTCTCCGTCAGGTCCTAAAAGCTAATGAAGCTTTGGATTGAGAAGTACAGATATTAGCCTCGCGTTTCAAACTCAAAAATTCGGCCTTTAATAGAAGCCCAACCGAAGGTTTGTAACTGTTGCTTCAAAGTTTCGAGGCGGTCGTGGCGGGTGACTGAATGGGTGCTTTGATTGTATACGAGTTGTGATGAGTGTGTGAGAGATTGATAAGGGAAGTGGGGGGTGTAAGCTGTGTAAAAAAGTTCTAAAGCGGGCAAGTCTAGTAAGACTAAAAAAGAAGATAATCCTCGAACGGGTGTGAGATGATGATGAACTGGCAATGCAGAAGATATGAATGGGAGGACGAGCTGGTTGGCCGGTTGTTGTTAGGGATGACTAGAATTACGCTAACGCGTACAATATGTCATTAATAGTTAGAAGCTTAACATGTCATTATTACAATACATCAAGCGGGATGGCGGTGTAATTGTAGTTGTGATATCGAAACTAATATTAAACCCCTAAAAACAAGACTTTTATATGCTTATGTTACAGTTACGCCTTCCACCTGATAAATGATACCCCTTATTCTGCCTTCCCTTTCTTAGAGTCAACGTACTCCTTCGCCTTCCTTGTGACATCCTCTACACTCTTTTCATCGCCAGCCTTCTTTTCATATTCCATCCATTTCTTGAATAGCCCTCTGGCTTGACGTGCTGAGCACTTATCTTCTGCCAATGCCCTTCTGAATAACGCCCTGACGGTTTCCTTATTATCGTCGCTCTCACCTCCATACTTCATCTCAACATCCAGGAATACGTTCCACAGGTCGTTCTTCTTATTAAAAGTACCCAATAAGTTCTCAAAAAGTGTCCTTCCTCTTTCAGGATCACCATTCTTGAATTCGAGCTTGGCAAATTTGGTGATAAGATCCTTATGGTTGGACTGAGGAAGGGTTTGCATGGCGCGTTTGAGTAACTCTCTAGCCTCTTCTCTATTGCTATTTGTGAGGAGATAGTCGGCGTAGTTAACCCAGATTTTCGGATCTTGGGAGAATTTCTTGATTATGACTTTGAATAAATCACCAGCTTTCTGTAAAAAGATTAACCCCTCTTCAAATGTGATATCTTATTTTGATAACATACCTCAGTCTTTCCGCTCTGTATATAGATACTAGCCAGCCTTTCATGCACATCCTGAGAATCGTTGTATTGACAAGCCCTCTTGAATGTCTCTTGTAGGGTCTCATCATTTCCATACGCATTTTCCATGTTTAACATTGCAATCCAAACATTCAGCTTCTCCTTCTCTTCCCTGACATCAATAGTCTTTATCGCCCTCTCTGCAATTTCCCTTGCCTTCTCAATCTCACTGAGTTGCAACTGGAAAGCTAGGTACTGAATCCAAAGCACGGAATTGTTCGGGTCACCAAGAAGAATCCGTTCGTGGTCAGCGACAGACTGGGGTTCACGAGTTGCCATATCCCCAGTCATGTCTTCCTTAATTTTACTCTTCTTCCGCTTCTTTTTCTTCTGTTTATCTTGGTCACCGTCATTCTCCGATTCGGAGGCAGCGTCATGTTCCCGCTTATCGAGGATGCTGCCAGTCCAGTCGAAACCGCCAGCACTCAGTCCTTCGCCAACGGCGAGTACGGGTGCGTCTTCCATATCAACATCTCCGCCTTTATCTGATTCCTCAGCGTCACTGTCAAAATCCTATCGAATGTATTAGCACTGGAGAGTTGTAAAGATATCAATGAGTATGTGTATACATACCTTAACATCCTCAAGATTGATATCACCATCCTCATCACTGTCTTTCTCTCCGTCACTGTCCTCATCATCTAACTCAACCCCACCTTCTGAAGCATCGTCATCACTATCTTCATCCTCGAAAAAGCTCGCCTTCAACCCAAAGCTTACCCTTCCCTTCTGTACATCTACTTTTAGAATCTTCGCCTTCACGGGATCGCCCTCTGCATACAGCTTGCCAATATCTTCGACGACACCATCAGCGATCTGGGTTTTGTGACACAGACCACTGATATTTGCAGCGTTATCTAGTTGTATAAAGACCCCATAATCAACAACTCCTTTGATTCGTCCAGTAACAACTTGCCCAGCCTTCAATTCTGAGAGTTGAGTCTGCTTCTTGAGCTCGCCTGAGATAGCGGAAGGTCGCAAGCTCATCTGAACATGACCCAAAGTCTTCTCAACGGCGACGATTTTACCCTCAACAAGCTGGTCCACAGTGAACATCGATTTCCAGTCTTTCAAGAACGTATCTGCAAGGTCTGAGACCTTAACCCAGGCAGTAACGTTCCCACCAAGAGAAACGAATAGCCCCTTATCAGAAACATTTTTAACAAAACCTCTTCTAACATCCCCAACGTTGATGTTCGCGATGGTTTGAACTTCCGGGTCCTTAACTGTCAGAGTGGAAGATAGCACCCTTGATGGCCTTGCCGAAAGTGTAATCCGCTTGTTCGGCTTGTCTAAATCGAGCACACAAACGCGAATGATATCATTCTTGCGGAAGTTACTGACTTTGGCCTCGGAGAAGTCGTCTGCGATATCTGTGAGGTTTATTGGTCCAGAGGCAGACTCGCTAAGTTGAACGATGACCTGGCGGTCCGAAACCTTAGTGACCCGGGCCGGTACAACCATTCCTTTACTAAGCTGATCGTATGTTAAAGTGGAAGCGGATAAGGATCTCGCTGAGAGATTAAGTTTTTTGTGCTCGGTGTCTACGCTTAATACGCGGGCTTTGAGCGCAGAACCTATAGGGAAATTTTGGGGGAGATCATTAAGCTGCGAAACGTCTTCGGACAGATCGAGTCTTCTGATTCTACCACGAATGTCGGGCGAGATATTCACCCATACACACTCTTCAGCTATGTTGTTCACAAACACGACCCAGCTAGAACCTTGAGTGACTTGGTCGATCGTCAAGATGTCTAAACTCTCCTTCGCAACAACGCTTGGCTTCGCGGATAACTCAAAGATTGGTGTCTTTGTGTTGGATGTCTTATGTGTTATAGCTAGGAAACGATGATTGCGAGCATCATGAATACCGAGGATTTTAGCGGGAATCACGTCGCCCTTTTTGTAAGACTCGAGGGGACTCTTCTTATTTTTGATGCTTTCCCACGAATCGAAAATCTGAGAGACGTCGATACGGCCTTGAATATTGTCTGCAAGCCTGACATTAATCTGGGTCTGCTGCACAGATACGATAACCACTTTCGTGACAGTTCCGGGAGTGAAGTGGGTGAGAGAGGTCATCTTCTCATCTAGAGGGTTAATAGGCGTCACAAGGTTTGGATCCTTGGGCTCCTTGGACTCTCTGACTTCAAGTTCGCTTTCGGGTTTCAAAGAGAGGAAAAACCTCCTCTTCTCTTGGTTGACCCGTGTGACTTTCGCGGTTACTGACTGATCTTTGACGTATTTGAAGTCAGGTAGTGACTGCACTTCAGTCGGAAGATCCTTCTTGACAGCCAACCCGACTAGACCACCTGCAAACGCCACGAAAACCCCAGCGAGCGTGATGTTGTACACCCAGCCCTTCACACTCTTCCCTTCTTCAACATCCTCAAAAGAACTAAGGAGTTCTTTACTCTTCGCAGCCTTGACAAGACTCGGTTTCATACTCAATGTGATTAGCCTCCTCTTTTCATTCTTCGCCAAAACCACCAAATCACTTAGTGTTTGTCCTGCCCTCAACTTCTTGAAAGCATTTACGTTCTTTTGCCTACTCCCATCAGTCAATTGACTAACGATCAGTACCCCCTTCAATCCATCCTTGATCTCCACGATTAGATCATCGTCACTCTTCTCAACCACAGTCCCACTCACAAGACTTCCAGGTTCGAGTGCCTTCAGTGCCTCTTTTTGCTCCTCGCCGAATGAGTTGGGGTCTTTGCAAGATACCCTCATCTTTTTGCTTTCAGGATCGACAGAGAGAACATGTACGTTGACAGACTGCCCTACTCGAAAGTGTTCTTTCGGGTCTTGGATGTACGCCTCCGACATTTCAGAAACAGGAAGGTATGCAGAAACCCCGGCGTAGAATTGGACGATAGCGCCTTGGGCCATGATCTTGATAAGAGTACCTACAGAGCGGGTGCCAGGGGTAACGGACTCATAATCGGAGATAAGAGGAGCATCCGAGTTTACGAGTGTCTTCTTTAAGGTGAGGCGGAGCTGACGTTTCTCGGGATTTGTAGAAAGCACCTACATGGGTCCCGTGGTTAGCCTTTAGATTATCTAAATATAAACGGATTAATCTAACATACCCTACATCGAACCTCAACTCCTTCCCTGAACTTCTTCTCTGGGTTCTTCAGTTTCACATCACTTAAGTGATCTTCCGAGACAAACCCGCTGATTCCGTCCGCAATATTCACTGTAACCCCACCTCTTTCAAGGACTTTTTGGATTTTGCCCTTCACTGTCTCCCCAATCTTGATATCTTCAATCCTCAAGAAAGGCTGCTCTAAGACCCTCTTTTCCGTAGATAGTAGATATATCCCATCCATAGCGTTAAACCCAACAACTCTTGCTTCGTGAATTGTTTCCAGTTTGTATGGGCCACTATCTTTGCTCAAATCGTCAATCTTTGTTTCCGATGATACTCGTGAGATGTGAACAAAACCCGGAATTCCCGGAATGCCAGTTTCTAAAAACAAACCAACTTTAGGCTTTACATCGATGATCTTTGCTGTAGGGAGAATGGTTGCGATAGGGAGAGTGGTCGAAAGGTCTTTTTCGGCGGGAGGAGTGAACGCGAGAATATGGGGGAGAACTGAAATGGCGACCTTCTGGGGGTCGGAACTGGGGAAGGTGATAGTTACTCGTGCTTTGATCTATTTGTATTAGTAAATGAAGTAAAAACCGTAGACTTAAAAAAGGCTTGATACCTTTTCTCCAATCTTGAACCGCTCGCTGAGCTCTTCCGGTTTCCATCCTGCAATATGGAAATAGTCAATAGTGGCATCAAGCATGCCCATTATCTTGCCAACAAGACCACCCTTCTTTCCAACTTCGGTAACAAGGACTTCGACGCCTGTTCCGGGGAGAAAGGCATTGATTGTTGGCGCCTGGCTGACCCACCAGGTACCCTTGCCCCCGGCAATTTTTCCTTTCTTGCTAGGCTTCTGTTCAAGATCCGCAGAGAGCTTTATAATCTTTCCATTAGATCCAATTCCAGTGACTGTACAGAGCAAAACTTGTCCCTGGGTAGCCTTAGCCATTGTAAAGTCATGACCAAGCTCTTTTTTTGCTAAAAATCCTTTGATACCCTCACTAATGCCAAGTTCCATAACTAATCCGTGGTCTTCAACACTGGAAATTGAGGCCTGAACTGTGCAGCCTACTACCAAATCGCTAGGTGTGAGTCCGGAATTAGCGAGCGATGGATCGAGGGAAAGTTCAATGCGTCGTTTGGTTTTGTTCTGATCGCCGGAAGAGCCGGCTTTCGTGGCGACATCTTCGATAGAATGAACGACGTAGGTGCGAAGATATTGGCCAACACGAAACATTGCGTTGAGATCGAAGGCATCTTTCTCATCTTTGGACTGAGATCCCTTCTCTTCTTGCTCCTCTTCGCTGGCCTCGTCTTCAGACTCATCAATAAGGGATTCAATTTTTTTAGTGAATGTCTCTGAAATCGAAGTGAGTGGGACGAAGCCAGTAAGATTATTTGGCAATGCTATCGCTAAATCCGTAGCATTGATTTTCGAAATGCATCCGAGGATTAGCATTCCGGAGGCCAATCTCTGCCGTCACAGAAACCTTTTAGTCAAACCCCAATTATTTTCGCGTTAGAACTTACCTTGAAACTCAATCCCTCTGGATACGGGCCTTTGTCCTCTTTTTTTTGATCTTCCTTCTTCTCCTTCTTTTCTTCTCTTGACCTTTTTGGTTTCTTCTTACCCTTCTTCAGCGCTATCCCGCCATCCCCACCACTGGTTTTTCCAGCACCCCCGGACTCAAATAAAACGTCTCTGGCCGCCTCATTTGAGATCTGCTTAAATTCCAAAGGTGTCAATGCACTCGCGCCGCCTCTTGGAAATGAACCCTCGTCATCTTTCACAGACCGTAGCGTTGAAGGCGCTGTGGGTGCTGCGGGAGCTGTTGTCGCGGTGGATTCGGATTTCTTAACATGAGGTTTTTTTGCGGGGTTTGATTCGGCGCCATCTTGAGGACGCTTTCGTTTCTTTTCGGGCGCCATTGGTGATTTCTTCTTTGGGTGGTCGCAAATTTACTTCTTTGCGAATTGAGGTTTTCCACCGTGGTGTTGCGTGGGAAACTACATGTACGTTGGAAATTTTTTTGAGTGCTGCCCTCACTCGGAAGAAGCCTAGCGCGCCAAGGCCCCACTCACTGGTGAACCCTAGACCCTAGATTTTACTAGCAGCGCCAGATGCTAATCGGCCTTACTTTACATGTGAAGTACAGTACCTGTAGGTACACGTACCTAGCTCTTTAATTAAGCCCAGATACGTATATGTATGTCACCATAAAAAAGCCTAGATATAGAGTACTACAATACATATAAGTACATGTAGACTACCCCAAAAGAAGGTGTATTCAACCAGAATACCACAAGACTGCGGTATTGGTGCGGTATTAGTAGGATCCCGGTCGCCATTTGACTCGGACGTTTTATACACGTGCACGCGTACACAATCCCGTACTTCTATTAAATCCCCTTTGATGGTACGCATAATGCAGTTAAAGAACAAATACATACATGTAGGTACTACATGGCCGACAAAATAAGTAGTACTTACAACGATGATAATTCGTAAAAGGCGCTACCTCAAACTGACAATGTCTTTATCACTTTTATTTTTAGTTATTTTATTTTTAGTTATTTTAGAGTTAATGAGACTAAAGCGATTTCATTGCCATGATTCTCCTAATTCTTAGCTATATATACATGTAGTCATGCTTGATCAAGAGCTTGCAATTGGTCTTAAAGGTTAATAATTATACTTCCACCAACGATTTCACAGATTTATGAAGATCTAGAGCTGTCAGTTTCTTTCTCGACCATTAATTAACTTTCTAGATCAACCATGAAAATCTCTATTTGCGGGATGTTTCTTAGCTAGCCGGTAAAGTGACGTGCAATCGCACTTTGGGTATATATAGCATATTGTATTAGTACAATTGTGCATAATCATTTACATTCTTTAAATTAGATCAATGTCAAAATAAAAGCCAATGTCACATGCGATATTCTTGCTTCATTTATTCCCTCATACGACTCCTCCATGTCATGTGCTTCCGGAATACCAGCTGAAATCAGATATTACACGGAGACTCCAGAAACACTTATAGTCCATGCTAAAAATATGATCCGCCAGTAATTGTTGATGAGATATATACAGTGCTTAATACGAATAGAGGAGGCTCTCATTGAGTTCGAGTCGTGGAATAAAATGCAGCATTCAGGTTTGGGTTACTACATGTCAGAACACATTTAGCCTCGTTCCATCTATCCAATGCCAAGACCAAGCCACCAATACATGTAGCTCTATTTTAGGTTTAGAGTAAATCTTGGTTGCTACACAAAACCATCCTTATCAAAAAGGTGTAGTACCGATCATTGATAGTTAACACGAGGAAACTTTGTCTCCAAACAGAGAAGCAATGAACTCCGAGCATAGAACCCAGTTTTATTGCAGTAGATTTTCCATATAGATTAGAAAGCGATTTGAATATGAGTAGCTATGACTAACAACAAAAACTCCATTTGTGTGCAAGAGATGGCTTCTATCATACATACACCACAAAACCTGAAAACCCCCAAAGTAAAATAATAAGATCTCAGTAATCAAAATGCTAATGAAGCTAACGAATGTCCGTCCCTCTTTTTTTTCTTCTTTTCTTCGCTTTTTTCTTGACTTCCTCTTTTTTCTTGCCCCGGTTTTTGTGTTTTTTTCCCCACTCTTCACCGACTTCAAAGCCAAAAACTCCCAATAAAAAAATGAAAAACGAAAGTAACAAATGAAATAGGGTAAGCGGGGTGATAATGAAAAAAGAAAAACCAGCATTATGTCTTGGATTAATAGGAAAAACCCCCCACCAGGAAACGAGATGTGAGTGAAAGTCTAATAAGTGACAATAGAAATCCGGTTATGAAATGCTCTTCTTTCAAGTTGAAAAAAAGGAATAACCCCCCTATAAAGAAATAAACCTTTTTTGCGGCGTGATAAGCGGTCGATCGCCCTTCTACACACACTTTCTCGAACATATTACACGTCCCAATTAACGCCCACCGATGGGACTCCAAAAAACGTGCCGCTACTCCGTCTTCCACACGACCTCGAGAACGGTGCGTATGTGTTTATGATTGTCGAGAAGAGTAAGAAAATTCGTAATCGGCCCTTTCGCTCCTCATATGGTACAACGACTCCGCCGCCTCCAAACAGGCACTATATCCTGAAGTTGGTCCTTGAACACGCTAGTAGGGTCCGTCTCCGTTGCCGTAGACATCGTTATACTGATGGTGTTCGTCTCCTTCCATTGGTGGGGTTAACGTCTGGTTGGCGCTCTCGGATCTCCCCCTGTAGGTGGATGATGATGATGTTGCTGTGCCAACTGCATTCCCTGTTCCGTACCCCCCACCGCCCCTCGACCCCCCCTCTGACTGGTTCCTCTGAGATTGCGACTTCCCATGCCAATCAATTGTCATGTTCAACCTTCTGTTTTCGACCAAAATATATATGTCGGGGGGAAAAAAACAAGATAAGAAAAGAAAAAAGCTTAAGCTCGGGTCAACTTACTTCGCGATACTTGGCGAGGTATATCTTCAAGGCCTCTGCGTAGTTTTCGAATCCCAGGGATGTCATGGCGAACAGAATATCTTCGCCGTTGACAGTCTTGCGTTTTTCTTGTTGACATTTTTCGGATGCTGTGACGCACGTGGCAGGGAAATTAGCCGATTCGTCAGATCAGATGTCAAGAAAACATTATTCGTTCCTGAGCTGAGATATCGATGCGTGTGCAGGGAATCGCAGTCTTGTATAAAACAAAATTCCCTGCCACCAATGAAACATCTCCTCTCGAGATATGTCATATATATTGTATATAACGCCAACACCACCGATAGGAATTAGGACGAAAAAAATCAAAAAAGTAAAAATGAACATACCTTCGCTGGTTATAAATGATATGAACTCGCTCACACATTCCTGCATGCATTCCTTTGCTTCCTTTGCAATTTTGGCGTTCTCTGGCAACGCTGTTTTCATGATTCGAGCAACTGGAGCAAAATTTCGAATGTCAGCATCTGCGAGTACAGTTTGCGGCGATGTCGCTCTCTCTTTTTCCAAAGTTAAGACCGGCGAGTCGGATCTTGAGCAGGTTGTAGGCATTATTTCGAGGAATATCTTGACTTTCCGTATGCCTTGCAGAGTCCCGGAAACGGCCCAGCGCGGAGAAGCAACGCTTTTTTAGGGATGGAGGGGTGTGGAAGGGAAGGGGGGGAGAAAGGGAGTAAATCCAACAAATGAGAGGGGAGCGGAGTGCGGGGGCGGGGGATGGAGGCGTTCCTTCTTTTTCCCCTCACAAGCATAAATAAACCAGGGCATGGCAGGCAGGCAGGGCAATTAAGATACGCGAGAAACTTGACTTTGACTCACCATTTGCAATTGGCAGCCATCGGTCCTGTTCTTTGACCTCGAAATCAAACACAGGCGGTGGTTGCGACGTTTCCGGCTGATCTCTATCCATGTGCTCCTGTTCGTCAGGCGACTGTGCTCCGACTTCCACCTCCAGGTCCTTCGAGGGGGAAGCCGACATGATGTAAAGTACTGTCGCTGTGTTCACACAAACTGACAGTCAGGGACAGCGCGTTAACTGTGCTAGCTAGCTGGTTCGCTGGCAGACACGTCACTGGTATTGGTTGTCTGGTGTGCGCTCTTCCCGAACCACTGTGCTGGTAATGGGCGGAGGGGTACGCACTTGTGACGGCAGTGTTGGTGCGGGTGCGGGAATGGAAAGAAGATGTGGGTGTGGGTGTGGGTGTGAGAATTAGAATCGATGTACTGGGAGCGGGGGACCAGCTAGCAGCCACGCGCACAGCAGCAGTAGGCAGGATGAAGCAGCAGCTAACTACACTATGGTCTCTCTCACTCAATGCAGTGCTATATTGGAAATGGAGGGGGGTGTTTGGGAATGCCGGCAGTAAGAGGTATGTCCTATGCACAATACCTGATATTGATACGTAGGTAGTTGTGTGTCGCGATGAAGATGCGGTGGTGTGGTAGGTACTGGGAAGAAGAAAAAAGGAAAAAGGAAGGAACCCCGTATAAACAGAATTGAAATCGAAATGGAATGGCGGTCAACGAACGCGTGATACTGGAACCAAGCACACAGAGCCTCAAAATCAAACGAAAAAGCGTGAATAACAATACTCAAACAGCAACAAAAAAACTTGGTGCTTCTTCCTCCGGAGTCCCTGTTGAGAGAAAACTGGATGAGATGGATGCAGAAGCCCTCTCCACCGTGTCCTGTCTACGAAAAACAACAACAAAAAATAAAAAAACAAATTCCCCAAAGCGACAAGTCTAAGGTCTCAGCCTGAAGTTCACCAGTGGACAGCACTCGCGCGTATTTTCCTTTGGTGGCTTCCGTGATACGCTGGTGTGTCCTTTCATGTCCGGGGTAGTCCTGTGCAGGCCCTGTGTAACAGAGACAACCCGAATACGTCCACCTGAGACCCCCGTATATTATGTGGTCGTTGTGTGGAACGTCAACCACGAATATCTTACCCAAGTACCAGAAAAATGCAGTCGATACTCATAACATTTCCTGGTAGATCTGCCAGGGGACCATTTTTTCGGAGCCGTGACGTTTGATAGGTTATCGTCTGATGGCAGGACACGTTATGGTGGGCAGCGAAATTCCGTCACTGGAGAACGGAGGTCGTCTCGAGTTCCAGAAGCCTCAAAAACCCTTCCACGCTAGCCAAACTAGAGTAACTACTCGCACATAAGACTACTAAAGTACAATCACGATATGAGTAGATATGAGAACGACAACCGTAATAACAGATCTCCCCCCCGTCGCATCATCTCCCTTCCTTTCACTCCATCATCCATCCCTCCATCCATCCTGAAACTCCTTGGGCATCATCACTCGTCTAACCTACGGAACAAAAAATAAAAAACAGGTACGAGAAAAAAGGTACAGCAGCAATTTGTTTGGTCCGCAGCAGCAGCAGGGTGATCAGTAATAATCATGAACCGTCTGGCTTGAACTGCACGACATGATGATGATGACACGACAGGCGTCCCGGCATGGTATTCTCTGCTTAGATCTCTCCACAATGTCCACATACGAAACTGACGAAGCAAAATATACACCCTGCCAACAAGAGCCGACGTTTGAATATGAACCCCTAGTTGGACATTCTTTGTAAACGAACAGTTGTTTGCGTGGCCAAGTGACCTATGCCTAGCGTTTTAAAAATAAAGATATTCTAAATGATTCACGGTCCCAAATGCACCTAAGGGGAAAAATAAAGACAGGCTCTGCAATAAGACCTCCAACAGCGATATCAGCATATCAATGCGTTGTAGAAGGAAAGGCAGGGTCAGTTGCTCTAACAGATAAGTACGGCAGAATAACGCCTTGCTTCTTCGGTTCGGATGATACAAATCAATCAACGCGATGACGGCGACAAGCTGCCGCCGCGGACTTCCGAAACCCAGAACCCCGCTTCCCGTGCGTGTTTCAGCCTTACGGTTTGTCTAACGACGTGCAGGGGAATAAATATTCTAAAGAACTCCACAAGTACACCTCACCCTAAACCTCGAGGAGTGTTTCAGGTTTTAGCTCTGCTTCCTTCAGACACAGATATTCGCCAGTTGGTGTGTGCAAGGATATTTGTTTTGAAGGGACATGTATGTGAGGATGGTCTGCACTGCAGAAAGGGGAAGAATCCTATCATTCACTCGGTCGAAAAACTTCCATCCAATTCCTTTGTGTCGGGTCCGGAAACATACCTGGGGAGGGACGTGCGTCGATCACTCTGAGACGAACACCAAATAGAGGGAAAAAAAATCATTCAAAAGACAGGAAGAGGATGATGGGTTTGGTCTGCATGTGTGGGGCGGGGGTGCCCGGCAGTACTCTACATGCCTACATACGTACAGTACGTGTTGTGCAACCAAGATGAATAATTATGGGCCAACTAAGAATCGAAGCTTTTCTGTCAACCATGCTGGGGCCAAAAGAAAGGAAGAAAAAAAACGGACCCAGAAAAAAAAAGAACGGCATCCAGAAATCGAGAACTGACAACACATCAATCGGTGTGTCTATGTCTAGTACATTTAAGGTGCATTGTACCCCAAAACAAGGTTGAAAGGAACGAACGAAACGTCATCGGCAGATATTGGAAATAGTAGCCTTTGTTTTTTCCAGCTTTCTGACACCTTTGACAGATCGTGGGCGGCTCAGCCACGGCCAACTCAGCAACATGATGGATTTTTTTTCTATGGTCTTTGGCACTGGGCTCCCCCACACATCATCATGAATTATGGTTCTGGGTGGATGTTAATCGGACAGCAACCCCTGCCCATGGCGTTATCCGATTTCACGATAGGCGGCTCAATCTGCAGCCCCTGCGAGGAAACCCGGGAGTCTGTTCACATCATACAAAGCTCATCGCAAAAAAATATATACGAATAGGATACAAGGGACTAGAGTAGGTACCAAAAGGATTATATCATGCAAGGTTCCGAAAATCATCTGCTTCACAAGATGCATCATGTAGGGGTTGCTTGTGTTTCAAACGAGAGCTGAAAAATGTATTCTTTTTTCGCTGGTTCCACGCCTTCGTCAGGGTCTAGTAAAGACACAGGGCAAACCGGCAGGCAGGCAAGCAGGCCGGCAGAAAAAAACGTTTACTCTACAACTGAAGCAGCGAGCGAGGGGCAGAGTCATTACAAGAAACAATTGCGTTGTTGTTCACCGTCGATGACGGCACGGAGATACCAGAATAGACTGCATGCCCGTGTGTACAAATCAATTATGACCACTCTAAACGCCCAGGTATGCACAGGTAAGTCCTTGGTCGTGGTTGAGAGGTCCAGTGAAGAGACGAGAATCACTGATTCACCACTTGTACATTATTCTTGGTCTGTTTTCAATTAAACTCGTCAGCGTTGCTGCACCCATACAAGAAAAGGGCCCGGTATATGAGGGATTGGATGAAAAGATTGGATAGCAAAGATCATGCTCTGATCGGAGAGAAGAGCGCATCAAGGCTGAGCGCAATTGACAAGTGATAAGAAAGAATGGGTGAAAGAAGAATAAAGGGAAAGATGGGGGTAAGGAATCATGATGACAATCATCGAGATATTGACGAAGCAGAAGCAAAGGAAAGGGAAGTGCCGTCCGTACCTTCCACTTGTCCATCTCCTCCTGTTTTTTCTTGTACTCCTTCACTAACCCTTCCAGAACACTTTTCAATCCCTCTGCATTAGTCTTGAGAGCTGGAATTACATCCGCGACCGTCCTTTCAACGAGAATTCCATTGATCAGGCGGAAGCATTTTCGGTCCTCCGGGACGGGCGCGAGGGTCTCAAGGACTAGTCTGCGCCGTGCGAACATTGCATTGTCAGTGAAATGACAGGCGAGACACAAGGTGATTCAGAAAATGCCATTGTTATTATCATAGGGGGAACAAACTTATGTTCTTCTGCCTCTTGCTCAACGTCTCCGATTTTCTGCGCAAGTTGTTGTAGAGTATTCTTGTAGTTGGTGTACTGAAGTTGTAACTCTATCACGCACTCAATTTCCCCATTAGCAAAGTTCTACACAAGAAAGGGTGGGGTATCCGTACCTTGCTGCTTCTTCGCAGCTGCGGGGGTGGCCATAGCTCTTTAGCACCTCGGGAGATGTTCGGTCGTAGGCGATGCTAGTCAGGGGGAGATTCTCGCGTACTTTTAGGCGGGGCAAGGGCAAGTTGCGGGCAGAGGTTCCAAAAAACGCGGCTCTTCTTTGAAGCTCCCCGCGATGAGCTAAGCACAGTCTTTGCATGGGGGTCTTGGCGAGATGCATAAACGCCTCTCCCGATTCAGCGGTAAAGGCTCATCCTCAACCTCATCTACAATTGACGTTGAACATCCTCTGAGAAGCGCCCAAACAAGATGCATCCTCACCTACATACCAAAGACAACAGAGGTATTTATCATTTCCTCCTCCTCCATCACTTTTCCCAATGCTCAATTTCACTTGCCACAATAACTGATCAACACCCCACTTAGGTTGTGAGGAGGTGATGGCAATCCTCGATGAGTGCCATGCACGCGGATTTCTCTGGAAAGCATCTGGAATGTGCAACCAAGCAAAACGAAACGTCAATAAATGTCTCCGTGCGGAACGGCTCGAAAGGACCAAGAAAAACCGAGAGGTAGCGAAGGTCAAGAGGGCGGAGATTACGGCGAAGTGGGCGGATATTGACGAGAACTCATAAATGCCGAATGAGACGTTCAGTGATTGGTTTGTATAGGGCTGTATATTTCTTGAGTGCTGCATTTTATATGGAGTTTATATACGGGTCTGGGTTTTACTCATGGATTTCGTGCTTGGTGTCCCATCTCTCATCTCAATATTTATTTTCTACGAATTTGGTTATTTTACTGTGTATTAATGATGCTGTGCGAAGTTTCACTGTTATCGGCCACTCCGGGAGATCCCCTCTCAGCAGATTGTTTCCTGCAAGATACCCAACAATAGTGGTAAACTTCTTGCACGCGTTCATCTCCATGAGGCGGCGTCTTGGGAAGCTCAAGGCCTCTACCTCTAGAAGAGATACTATTTATTGCATTTCAAGTAGTTTTTTTTTCTTTTTCTACATGTTCATTTGTTTTATCGAACTCAATGCAGTTATATCTGTCACTTATGCGTGGCTCATGTCATCTAACATGCACTAGTATAGTGCTACATACATACATGTATGTAACTCATCGCAACACCAAATCTACCATTTGTCCTTTGATTTCGATCTTTTGTTTTCTACAATCACTGACCGGATCGAATTAGAGGGGGCCTATACCCACCATTAAAAATTATTCATCTCATGACGAAATATCGTTACAGTATATACAATCCAATTAACTCTGAAACCTTCGAATACCTTGACGGCACGCACTGACTATGGAATTTCAAATAAGATGGCTGCGGCCATCTCCGCCTCATCGTCCTTCCCTCTATCGATGCGATGGTAGCGCTCTGTTTCCGATTTCCAACATGACAGGGTCCAGCTGAGCTGAGCATGAGCGAGAGAAAATACAAGCAATTAGAATTAGAACGTGGCATGATAGGCTTCAATAAGTGCAAAAGAGATGAACAAGGATGACCATATGGATGGCGTACCTGGCCCGTGGAAATTAGAATATGGGCGGATATAGCTCCAATAGATGGTGAGTAAGCCGGTAGTTGCCAAGAAACCATGAAATCAAGAAATTATCCCTTCAACTCAATTCGATCTTACATTTTATAGTCCTACGGGCGTTATCTTAGCTTTTGTGAGATATTTAATTTTAACCCTCTAAGTGTGATGATGGATCATGATTTGTCACTCGAGAATGTCGGGTTGTCAAGGTTTTTAACTCCAGTTAGCGGGTGGTCCAGGTTTCATTAGTAAGTGCATTTATTATAACATTGGAGATCCATGGAATACCTACCTCCATAACCTAACCCGCTCAGATAATTTGAAGGGAAAAATTGCTCTTACGTGCTTGGTCGCGAGTGTAGTTAACAACGTGAATAATAAGTCAGAATTTGGCAAAACCCCCCCTGTTGCCATCGCAGAAAGAACACTGATTGATGCACATCGATCTATAGTAATCCATCACTTCTTCTTGGCCAAACGCACCGCTAGAATTGTGGATACCCGATACTTAGCCAATAATTTATGATATGGGAGAACATATTTGGTGTAGCCATACATGCGGTGCTGGCGTCCAGATACAATCTATTACCTCCCGCTAATCTTGTACCTCCAGCCACAAAACATCAAAATATAGCAGCTCCAAAGGGTTTTACTAATCTAGTTCCACCGTTCAAAAATAACATGGGAAAATGCTGCCACCATGAAGGCGTTTCTATGTATGTATATCCACAGCGAGGTCTTTATGGCAGTTGCGACAATGCGTAGTCATACCCTATAGCTAGTGAAAGGATTAGAGAAGTGGTATTGGATGTTGGGAATATATGCCTTTCAGCGCCCACACGGCAGGCATTAATATACTAAAATGAGAGGGCAGGCGTCGCACGTCTGCATATTGATATTGGAAGCGTAATTCTCCCTTGACGAGCAGGAAGCACCTCCATTTATTTCACTTCAATGCGTTTTGTGGACTGTAGGTTACCGATTGTTCACGGACCCCAACCGCGTTTGGATCACAAGCAATCACTCATGATAGCTTCATCACTTGATGCAGCGGTGATCATCATAAAACGATAACTTCCGGCTACATTATACCAGGTGTTCCTTCCTTGCGCATGTAACACTGCATATTAGACTAAGCATATAGAAATATAGACCTATGCTCTAAATTCATGCAGTATCCGTGTGATAAACTTACTTATCCAGTGAAATAGTCAATTAAACTCCGCAGGTTGCCGGGCCCGCCTTTCCATACATTGAATTCAAATGCATTGTGTTCTCACGGAACATTTCTTAATTTAATAAATTCAATTTTATGAGTCCATGAGTTGTTTCCCTAACAAATCAAAGCAATGCGAATAAAACCCATGGTAGCATTAAACTGAAATCCGTCAATATCTCTTGATCCTATATTAACCATTTCCTTTGTCCCTGATATCCAGGTATAATACACGATCAAGCGCAAATATCGAAGCCACCCCACTATCCTTACCCGTTTTCGACATCCTTAAAGAGAAGTAGTAATTGGTCGTCTGTCCATCGAGAAAATGGCCACGTTATATTTTTTGGTCCTTGGAGGCGAGATGTGTGGGTTGGATGGATGTTGATCAAATTATTTTAAACTGACCGCCCTCAAACGTTTAGCCAAGCTCCGGTCATTACCGTTTTTGCCGTCTCCGCCGCCAAAATCAAAGCTGGAGGGCGAATCAAAAACACGTTTTCTAGGGGCGCTCTCACCGCTCTCCCGGAGTATCGTCATCAGAGTTTGCCATCCGGGCATTTGTAAGAGTTGATGCCCATCAATAACATCGTGACCAGTTGCCACCTTTGCTAATAACTCTTCTTCTTTCTATAATAAATTTTGTTTTTCTCTTGCCCCTTCACTCCGCATGTGCGAGAGGACGAGGCGATGAGAATTTGATCATCAGTAATCACTCGATAAAATTCTAACCAGAAACGGCACCCGGTGTAACACGAGAAGACTAACCTTATCAAGAATACCCCAGTTTTTCAGAAAAGTTAGAAGATGGAAATCGCTGACGACATCTATCCCGCCTTGTGGTTCGTTTCCGCTTGAAGTTGTAATGCCTAATTGTTTTGCCACTGCGCGGTGGTCCTGAGATGCACCCGTGAGTTCCCTATTTTCCACGGGGAACTGACCAAGAGGAGCCGTGAACATCGGACGCTTTTCAACAGGGAATCCATGTGTCAAGGTAACAAGTAGATATTCTACCGGGAAACTTGGCTTTGCATTTTCTTGGACGTTGGCTCCGTATTCGTTGATGTGCCTATAAAAGACCTCAGGAATGTAACGTGACCTATCATCCTCTTCTCTAACCATCATAACTGATGGGTCCGCGGAGGGTTCAATGATGTCTGCACGGACCATTTCGACTGCAGTGTTGGAGACTTGATAGGACGACACATTGATTCCGCCATCCTCATCTCCAGAGACAACGCAAGTAACAAAGCTGGACCCAAACCAGCCAGTTTCAGACCACTTGCTTGGATGGGGATTTTCAGCCTGGAGCCTAGCTGCAAACACAATCTCGAGGGAAGAAAGATAGTAAGAATCAATGTGTCTTTTACAGACTACTTTACCCGTTTGAGTTCCGTCATCGAGCAAATCGGTGTAGATCACACCGACTTTTCGGAGGCCGCACAGCGCTGCAATCTCGTTTACATCTTTCTCGCCTTCCCAGGGTAAGGTTAACGTAACACCATCCATTTCATTCACCTGTGGTGGCTCATAGATTGCATCGACAACCGCTTTAATCCCCAGTGGAATTTCAGAATAGGGTTCTAGACGTCCGTAAAGATAACCGATTCTTTGGCATCCAGTTTGTCTCCAAAAATTTATAAAGTTATCGATCAGCGCTGGATCGCTGAACTCCACATGGTCTACCATCCTAAATGTCTGAGGTTGTAAAGTAATCGCAGATGGTTGGCACTTCGTACAGATACCCTCAGGCCATGCAGGGTGCCCTGACGGACAATCCTTGCGAACTCTGAAGAAGGGCTCAGATAGAGGAGGCATGTATGAGGTCTTTAGCTCAGGTTTGTTGGTACTAGCATTTGTCTTCCTCAGATAGGAATTAAAGCTCAAATGCTTGATTTTCCTCTCAGCTAGATAGCCCGCATCGTAGGGTTCCAAAGGCATGCAGTTATCACACATTCCCTTCGCACCGTGCTTGCATAATCTGTCTCGCGGCCTAGGGATCTTTCCATCTTGTTTTTCAAGTAAGTCATCGACATGGTCCTGAACAACAGTTTCCCAGGGATTAGGGGTGTTATCGTGAGAGGTGTAGTCATTTGTAGTTGTAGTTAAACGATGCGATACATCGTCGGAGGCCCGGATTGGCTGGCCATTAAGCCGATTACTGGCGGGTTGGTTTCTAGTGGAAGTAGAGGGCGCTTGTATTGGGACTTCCGAGACTTTGCCGTAAGAAAGAAAAAGCTGATCTCCATGACTGAGATCCCGGA